CCGAGATACAAGGTCATTGCGGAGCTGTGCTCCTTTGTGCTGCCCATACCCTGATGGGGTGGAACCAGCACCTTCACAGCACCACCTGTTTGTTAGGATTTGCACAAAACATCACAAAGTGGACCCAGAATAAACACAAGTTGTGTACTACTCCCTTATTCACTCAGCGTACTTATAATTTAACAACTTGGAAAGTTCTCTGCTGCCTTCCCCTGCTGAGCACCTAGATGACTTGGGAGGAGTTTTAGGCAGCAATTCTTCTTCACTCTGGAACTGGTACTGTTAAAATTCATTTAGCTTCAACAAAGGAGAGTAACGAGCTTTTATAGTCCCTGTGAAGTAGTTTTAACCTAGGACTCAAAAGACAAAGAGCGCTGTTGAATAGCAATGTTTATTTAGCACTTTAACTTTTAAATCTTTCTCCATTCGGATGTGTCTTCCCTTTTGAACTGGAGGCACAAGTGCTCTATGTGCCTGCAAAAACCTTTTTTTTTTTTTCATCTCACACTGAATCCCCAGAAAATCCTCAAATATTCTTGCAAATCTCAAAGACATTAAGGCATTAGCCCCCCTTCCTCCCCATTTAGACCTTTGAAGGCTGGTGTGACTAGAATGATTTTGGAGTCATAGCTCAGAGTCTGAATAAAAAATGAAGGGAAGCGTTTTGCAATACTGTAGCCAGTACAATAACTAATTACTTATAGATTTTAGGTCACATTTGAAAAAGACAAATACTGAAATAAATGGATAATCATTTGGAGCTACCACTAACAGTTTGTTTAAATACTTTGGGTTAAATTCAGCTTTGTGTCAGGGCAGAGCAGCTGCCTGCATCGGTGCTCCAGCTTCATACTGGTGCCAGTGAAAGACAAACTGGCCCCTTTGCTGAGATCAGAAACACTTGTAGCTCAGGCTTGTGTACTGCACTGGATGGTTGGTTGGGCCTTTGCTGGACCATGCCAGCAGGAAGAGAGTTAACCAAGCAAAGCATGACCGGTTCTGACACCAAGTGAAACAGAAAAATATAGCATTTTGAGACCAATAGCTGCCATCCATCGTGATATTTGGCAGAAAAAGCTAAGAAACATGTTGGCAGATTTGTGGTGATGTGGTGTCTCTCTGCAAACAACAGAAGACTTTGGAAGAGGGGGGTGAAAATACAACCGGTGACCCATATATTACATGATGAGTTTAATCTTTAGATATAGCCAGCATGCATATTAAAATTTTTACCTGTCTGTAATACAAGCAGAGCAGTCATTCCTTTATTACAGTTGACATTTAATGTGATGGCTTTAATGTACTTTAAAGAAAAACAACCCTCAGACAGAACAACTTCTTAGCTGTGAGCCAAATGAAATTGCCTTTTTTACATTTGTAACTGGAATCATCAATAATTTCACTAAGGTGAGATGTGTTATGAATTGCATTCAGCGTAAACTTCAGGCTTTGGAAACCTGAGGAACAGGCTCTTAGTTAGTAAACATTTTTCTCTTGGGCATCTCAGTGTGCCTGGGTGGTGCTTCGAATTGCGTGTGACTCCTGTTGAGGCTATCAAAGTTGCAACCAGCCTCTCACCAACCTCCATGGGCAACCAGCAGCCTTCACCACTGCGTTGTTTTTCTGGGGTTTGACCGTAGTGCCAACATCAAGACTTGGCAATGATTAGATACATACTCTTTATTTATTAACGCACGTTCTCAGCAGGATCCTCCATGATCTAAAGCTCTGAAGCTGGGAAACCTGCGCCTCGCTGCAGAGCTTTCCAGATCTGACTGTCCATGGAAGAGGTGTTGTCTGGGGCCAAGTGTCTCCACACCATGGGGCTGGGAAACCAGCAGCCTGGGTGCCCACCTGTACAGCAGGCTGGGAGGGGTGGCACGTGTCTACTCCCTTCCCAAGGGACACCAGATGGGAAACTTCACTTCAGCTGTTTTCCTGTGGATTTTGGTAAATCCTTCCAGCCACAGAACATATCCCACCATCTCTGTCTGCTCCCCATTCCTTCACAGTTGACAGAAACTCTAGTTTTCTTCCCAAAAGGAGAGAAGTCCCAGCTTGGTGCCAGACGACCTCTATAAAATATTCACCTCCTTGGAAAAGCAGGGAGAACGGTGTCAGGTATGTTGGAAATGATGTTTTAGGGCTCCAGAGAAGATCTGTGTCCTCAAGGGTCTTGCTAACCTACCTCAGAAATACATGTGAGTCCATGAGACGAGGAGAAACTACCCAATTCCCCCGCCCAATTCTTCCCATCCCAGATCTCTTCAGGTCACGAGGAGCAGTCAGGGACAGGGACGGGAGCATCTGGAAATAACAGCATTCCTAAGGGAAAGTATTCCTTTTTAATTAATTGTATCCCTTTTATCCATGACAGTGTAATTGCATTTTGCTTAGCTAAATCTTTTTAATTGGTGCTGGGAGTGAATGATAAGCAAAGCTGTGCAATTCCTTATTAGCCATTGTAGATAGCTATTTTAGGGCAGTGTAGGACAGTTAGTTGGGAGACCTAAAAGCTGGGGTCAAATAGCACTGATTTGGGTTATTTGTGGAGGGAGGTGGTGTGGGTATGCAAGACACCTCTACATCTCAGGGCTATTCATTTCTGTAGATGCAACAGGCTTTTTTGCTGCCCACTGACTACCTCACAGTGACTCAAGGCACTCCTCCTCCTCCAGTGGAGCTTCCCTTGGACTGGAGAAGTGGACGTGTGGGGCACGAACACCCTCCAAAACTGTTGCTTGGGGGTCCCAGTGTTTCAGGCTTCAAGTGCTACTGCTGTGACTTGTGTCCTGTGTTCACAGTGGAGAGGTTGGGGGTGAGCTATGCAGCTGTCCCTCCAAGGGGACACCTCTGACATGCTTGTGAAATCTGGTGGTTTGCCTTAAAAATAGTGTTTCTAACTACTAAAAGTGCAGAGAAAAACATGTAAGTTTGTCCTGGCTGCCTCATGGTCTCTCAGGCACAAGAGACTGAATCACAAAGGGATTTTCCCCTCCTATTTTTCAAATAGGTTGGGGACTGGTTGACCACAGTTGGACCCATCAAAGACTGGGAAATCACCACAACCTGCCTCACCTCCTTAGGACCGAGCGCCCTGCTCTCGAGGTTCTGCTCTCGCTGTGTGTGCCCTCAGTCCACTGAACAGCATCAGCCACCGTTTTGTCCTTCCCAGTGAGACAGGTGGGGCATCACTGGGACCCTCCAGCCGCATCTCGGGGACACTCCGGCTGTATCATCGGGACCCTCTGATCCGATCCCATCCGATGCGCCCCGGCGCGGCGGCCGTGGAGTGGGTGGTGGCCCTTGAGCTCCCCTTAGTGTCGGGAAGGAGCATTTTTAATAAATACACATCAGCCGTGGATCTCTCTGGTGTGTCCCCGTAGTTCAGCGCTGATACTGGGTTATTGGGGGGTACCTGGGACTCATCCCACAGGTCCCATCACACCGGTGACACCCCTGTCAGCTACACGTCCAGCCATTGCCCTCGCTGGGAAACGTTTATTTGGCACAAGAATTGACATGAGGACAATTTAAGCTCAGCTGTCCCCATATTAGTTTTATCCCGTGGTTCTGGAAAAAAAAATATCTGTGTTTTTCCTTTTTTTTTCTTTTTGGAATTAAATAAAGGGTTTTCTCACCTCTACCAAAACACAACATAGGAGTGAGTACGGCAATTCACACCAGGTGAGAGCTGCCACAAATACCTGCCATTTGAACTGAAAGTGTGGAATTTAGCGTGAACTTCCGAATCTGCTAAAGCTGGACTTTGAAATTTTATTTCTAGCAATTGGTGTCCTGGCTCTTGAAGAAAGCGAGCCTGCAGCCTAAGCCTCACAGCCTCCATGACTCCTTCAGCTTACCTACCTGTTATGGGAAATGGAAAGAATTTCTTCAGTGACCACATTAGCGACTTCTTTCTAGTTTCACCCTGGTTTGGACAGAAGAGGATCAAACGTAAATCATGGTACCACTGCCTAGCATCTTCTGCTGTTTATTCACAGCCAGGCAGCGCTTCCCCAAGAAGATCCACTGGGATTGACACAGTCAGGGAGTGTGAAATCATGGACATCACAACTTGGCCCTCCAATGGATGCTATTTCTTGCCCGTTGAACACCGTGCACCGGGCTTGGTTCTTCTCTTGCAGCTCAGATGTGCTCTGCTTTAGTAGGCAGAAGTGGTTGTGTTTCTAATTCTTGGGTGAGCTTTGTGCCCACAGCTCTCCTCCCAGCTGGCTGGGCTTCCTTCCCCAGACTGGGCACACAGAAATGTTTTATGAAGGCAAGGTTTGTTTTCCTGCCAAGCTCAGGTTTTGCCAGCACAGCAATACTAATACAGGTCCTGGTCCTGAGCCCCCTGTTGCCCTTCCCAGACCAGAATGAACTGTAGTGGTGTGGACACTTCTGTACTCTACACTCTTCAATGTAGACATGGGCTCTCCTGGGCTGCTAGGAAATCCCTCTGATGCCAGATATTGCAGATTTTATATCCCTCTATCTCTCGCTATATATATATATAGATATATATATAGATATATATAGATATATTTATATATCTACACTACAGGGTGTAGAAATGGCAGGGGAATAGGTTAACCATGTCATGCGCTATATTCTGGCCATGTTGTTGAACAGTAGCTTGGGTTCAATCAGTTCCTCCTGTGCTCAGGAGCAGATAAGCTGGGCCACAGCATCCTTAGTCCTGGGCATGCATACCCAACCCTGGTGTTCTGACCTTAATCCTGGCACAACTGCTTTTTTTTTTCTGGATGCCCATTTTCAAAAAGGAGATTTAGGGGATTTAAGTCCAGCCAAAGGGTCACCACTGGGGACATGATGACTTTCCCCTCAGTAGTAGTTTTGCCTGATGGAAAAGTCAAATGTCAGCATTTAGCCTGAAAAGTGCTGAGGAAGATACTCTGCTAGCAAAGAAAGTGAGAAAATGAGACTGTAAGCGGCACCTGTTGATGAATCAAGAAATGAATACAGCTGGTAAATCCTTTATTTCCTAACAGTGAAAATGCTTTATTTACATGCTGACACACACACACACACACTAAAAGATGAAGGAAACACGTGCAGGCCCAGCACTGGCCACGGGAGCCCTGCAGAAAGCTGTGTTAGCCCAAGGGCTGGTACTCAGCGTGCTGTGAGTGCTGCTGGGGCTCCCTACCAGAACCAAAAGCTTTTGTCTCTTTTTGTGCAGGTGAGACACTGTCCTTTTCCACCAGCTCTGAAATAGTTGTCATTCATCTGGTTTCACCCATGGTTTGCAGCAGGTGCTCCTTGCCCCCTCTAAACCAGAAGCAGCAAAGGTAAGCAGCTCTTTTCATTTTCCTGCTGTCAAAAGCATCGGAATGGATACTGCAAAACTTTCTGGATTTTCCAGACTTCTTTCCTGAGGCTTGAGACCCCGTAACAAACATTTCCTTTGCTTCAAAGCAGTGATGAGCTTTGTTGCAGACTGCACTACCAGACCCTGCACGCTGCTGGGTCTTCTCACCCACGTTGGCCCTGGATGCCCCATTGTCTGCTGCTCTTACCAGCACTGCTTGGGTTTTCCACTTATATCTGGATTTCTAAGCACTAAAAACTAGTTTCAGAACTGTGTAGGCAAATGCAATTATGACTCGCATCAAGGCAGAGATGTGGGGTTGCTTACATGTATTTCTGACATTTTAAACAAAATGTCCACATTGGTGGTTGGGATGAGCCTGGCTACGTGCATGCAGGCTGCTTGTCACCTGCCCAATGTCCAGAGCTGGTGGAAAAGAGCAATACTTGGGCCTTAAGAAAGTGAAGCTTTTCAGTTGTTATCTCAGACACACATGAGATTTTCAGTATGGTAGAAGCCTTTGGTTTAGGGTCCGAATTTTCACTCTGGAAGTTTAATTGTTTGATGTTTCCCCATTATCGCTTTTATTCGTTATCCCTTTACTTTACTGGAGCATCTAATTTCTAAAGTTATGAATAGCTTTATACACCAGGTAAGGTAAGGGGTGTTGTTCCCAGGGACAGGTTAGGAAACACTGAGAGAAAAAGCAGGGGACATAGCCAAGGTCAAAAACAAGGTCAAACCAGAATAGTGCAGCGCCTAGATCCCAACCACTTAGTTTTGTGCTTTAAACTGTGATCAACATGATTTCTGGAGATCATTTTATTTGGATGCCAGAGAGATCATCTGATGATTTCCGAGCATCTCCTGTCTTGGGTGTGTGTATTTCACTGGGGGTTCTAAGCTCAGGTTCACAACTGTGCTGTGATGAAGATGGACTAGCCAGCTCAGCTGCAGTAACATCCCATGTCTACATGCTTATCCCGTTCTCTCTTGCTGCACTAAGCTAAAGTGGACCATCTCTCCTCCCCTGCAGAGTTTGAGGTCACACACGTGTGAGCTACTGCAGATGAGCTGATGTCCGATAGAGGGAAAAGCTGTGAACTGGCTCACGTGCCTGACCTCCAGTTGTTTCGTGACAGCTGGGATGTTTCAGGTTACCTGTGGGTCTTGTAACCATTATCGATTTACAGAAAATTCAACTTTCTCTGTCAATATTTTTATGACCTGGTAAAGAAACTACAAGCGCAGCCTGACAAAATTGGGTTTGCGTTATGAACAAGAGCCCCGTAGAGACAGAAGGGGGTGGCAGCTCCCAGAGCAGCCTCCACAACCCATCATGCACACTCCACACCAGCGTCCTCGTTGTGCGAGCAGTTGTGCACTCCCCAGCCGGGCTTCTGACAGTCGAAGATTGAGGCTTCGCTCCCACTGCAATTCACGTCATCAAGCCAAATTTCCCCAGAGCCTTTGGAAGATGAATTAAACAAACAAACACAATAGGGTTGGACAAAAGCAAGAGGAACACGCATGTTTTTCTGAAGCCCCCCATGGATAGCAGGCATGCGTTGGGTTCTTGTTGGGAAGCAAGTCTTTGGGCACAGTTCAAGCAGTGCTTAACATGCAGTTCCCTAATCCCAAGGAGAATGAGCTGTCCTTTTGGGGAACATCCTCTTTGCTCTCCTGATGCTTGTGCAGAGAACCTTGTTGTGGTGCTTTCTGGGTGTGCGTACCCTCCCATGACAGGCCCCGGGAGCTGAAAGGCTGTTGTGGACTCACCTGGTGTGGCTGTGAAGGTAGAGATCGCATGGCTGTATCCCAGCATTCGGCAGACCACAGTCGCATCTTGGGTGCCCCAACCATCGTCACATATTGTCCCCCAGGCCCCATTGTGAAAGATTTCCACCCGCCCCCTCCTGCCTCCTTCCGCGATTCGTACAGAAGAACTGAAGATGCCTGACAATTCAGAGGAGAAGAAAATAACTCTACTGGCAGTATGGGCATGAGGGAAAAAGCACATTGAAAGATGGAAACAGTGACCACACAAACTGGTTGAGCGTTCCCATCCCCATAGCTGTAGCCAGAGCAGGACCAGAAGTTACTGGTAGCTCAAATCTGAACAATTCAGGGTTCTCTTCTGGGTCTGGAGACACCAGGCTGTAGTTCAGCACACGGACCTCTCAGTTCTGGTAGCTGTGCTGCAGGTTACCCAGTGCGCATGGGAGGAACATTGGTCCTGATCTCAGATACCTTTGATGCCAGAAAGCAAGCAAGGGAATTAAAAATAAAAGTTCAATACCTTGTCCCTTTTCACCTTTGCTCCCTTTTGTTCCTGGGGAACCTGTTCCAAATTAAAAAGCAAGGAAATATTTGTTAGCTGTTTGGGGGAAAACCCAGTTATTAACTTTTTCTGAATAACTGGGTGAGTCAGAGATAAGATGGACCCTCTGAAGTGACTAAGGGTGTGTAAAAGAAACTTGGCAAGAAAAGCTGGATAACATACAGCAAAATCTTCCTAACGTGTGACCCAAGAATAGGGCCACTTGCAAAATTCCATCCACTTACGCATGGGAAATGTATCTTATTCCCATCACTACTGTAATGTAAAACGACATCTCTGATAGCCTTTTGGTTTTGCAGAAGGCGGCATGGTATCTCCCAAAGTATTTGAAGGTAGATCTACATCTTGGGGCTTGTTCTCCAGAGGCTGCCATGGGAGAGCAGAAAGTCACTCCCAACAGTCCTCCACATTTCTGTGTAGCAACTTGGTCTTGAGAGCAGGGGTGCTGGAAAAAACCCAATGAGCTCTTCCCCTGAAAACTAATTCCACAAAGCACACACTGCTATCTCCTTCTGGGTAGAAGGATATGACACCCACCCAGAGAGGAGTCCCTAACCTGGGGTCACCCCAGTGACTCTTTTCCCCTCCTCCAGAGGCAAAGTTCCAGAAGAGGAGTGCACGGAGGAGCCCCATGTAGGTTCTAATTTATTTTATTTCTGAGGACTCTTGTGCTCTTCTGTGTGAACAATTAAAAGAAATAGTATCTGGAGCACTGGTTGCTTCCCATGGCCAGTTTTAACTACTGCTTGGGTTTTGGTGTTGTTTTTTTCTTAAAAGTCTTAGGGTTTTCGGAAGCATTCTGCAATTGGAAAGGAGGGGGAGTAGCTGTAGTGTTGGCCATTTTGAACTGTCTATTTTTGTGTCCTACAGTTAGAGAGGCATAGTTATAGCCCTGGTGTTTCTGATCCTGTGTTCCTGACAGACATGTTTACATGGGGTTTACCCTAACGGTGTGGTATGTTGCAAGACATCTCTGTCCAAAGCAAAGAGGAGCATGGGTTCTTCCAGTTTTCTGTGAGATCAGGGATTTGAGAAAATCTAATGCATCTGTTTACTTGCATGTCTTTTAGCACAGCTCCCCAGGTGTAAATGTGACACCCTGCACATTCACCTCCCGAGAAGCCTGATCTGTCTGTTGGGTTCCTCCAAATGAGCTCTGTAAAGATGCCCTAGAGCAGCTTGAACCAGTCTGTCACATACGGTTCCAAACTTAAATGCACCATCAGCTCCACAGACCCTGTGGCAAACAGCCTTACCAGGTGATCCACGGTCTCCCTTAGCACCTTTTAATCCTGGATCTCCTTTGGGACCAGGACTGCCATAATCACCCTTGCTTCCTTTTTCACCAGTTGGGCCTGGGATGCCTGAGTGGAAAGCAAGAAAGTCATTGCTTTTGTCCCTTCCCAAGGCAAGAGCACGATGACCATTTCACATTGACACAGAGGAGTGGAATGTGGCATTTAAAGTGCTTTCCATCATCAAAGTCATGCTGTGAAACAAGAGTTTACCTGGAAGGCCCGGGTTTCCCTTTGCTCCCATTGGCCCTGGAGGACCTAAGAATATGAAAACAAACAAACAAAAATGTATAAGACAGATATTTATAAAAGCTTATACAAACTAGTATTTGTGATGGATTTCAGCTCATCTAATTTAGCTATCTATGCTACAGGCATCTATTCCTGAAGTGGGTGTCTAATTTCCCATTACACTCAGTGCAGACCTCATCAATACAGAAAACACAGGCAGTGGAGAACTGTCTTCTCCTGGAGGAGATCAGCTTTTGGTCAATTATTTCATATCCTAAACTCCACTGATGGGATAGACCACCCTCCAGGTGTGTCTTTACTGTATAAAGAACCAAAAGTTGTAAATTTAGGTGCATCAGACATACGTAAGCATGTAATGTTGGGCCAGGTATCAATGAACGCAGAAGAGTGCATTGGACTGTTGTCACCTCCTGATGCAGAAGAGAGGCTGCGTGCACTATGTAAATTCAGGGTTTAAAAGGCTGATTCAAGAGAAATACACCGGAAGAGGCTTGTACTGCTGCATATCACCCTATTGTTTGGGTGCCTGGACAGAGAGGTGGACTTCCTCAGATGGAAGGTCAAAAAAAAGGCTAGGTTGTGTGCTCCAGGTTGGTCTCTGAAACTACCTCTTCCTGCAGTGCTACAGAGGAGGCCAGGGCAGATGCTTGCTAGTAAATTCAGATTCCCCATCAGATTTACAGCCAGTAAAATTTCTCTTTAGCTCCAGGGTAGGGAGGTTGTTGTTTGGTTCATCTTAAACTGCTGCCTCGTTTGTGCATTTTCTATTTATACAAAAATGTAGGCAACATCACCTCCTCATGCACATTACAGATGATTGAAACAACCCCTCCATGGAGTAGCTACCCCCTCGGCAGTCTGGCAGAGGCCCAGGACCACCATGGCATACTGGGGTGTGTTGGGGCTCCAAGAACAGGACTCAACAAATCTCCTTGTTGCAGATCCCTTTCCAGTGATGATGTGTGTTGTTGACCCCAAACCTGTTTTGTTCTCCTTTACCTGTTACTCCTATGTCTCCTTTTTCGCCTTTGAGTCCATTAATGCCTGGTACTCCTAAAATTAAAAAACATATCAGTAAGGGCAAAGCTGTCACACAAAGAGCAGCCAGAGTAGGAGGTGTGTGAGTTACAGGTTTGAGTAGAGACGTACCTGGACTACCACTGGGCCCACGGTCCCCCTTCTCCCCTTTCTGACCAGGTCTCCCTTCGAGGCCAGGACTTCCCACAGGTCCACGTTGTCCAGTTACGCCTTTAGGTCAAGACAAAGCAGCATATGTGAAATGCAACACAGCATATGAAGGAGAAAAAAGAAAGGCTGCGTGGACCCAGGTCCTTGCAGACTGTCAGCCTCAAGAGGCACAAGTGCTTTCCAAAAAGAGCAGCTAATTTCTGCCCTTGCATGTGCAGACATGTCAGGCAGGAGGACATGGACCTCCACAATACAGGACCCTTCTTTCCCTCTCATGCTCCAGAGAGTGGAGTCCAGACGAGACAGCCAAAGCTGCAGGATGGGTTTGCATAACTTCAGCATGGTTCATTAATCTTACCATCATCTTCTCTTACCCATGCTGGGATCTAGCCTGGCTGCAGTTTTCTTGTCATGAGGCAACATCTAAAAGAGATTGGTCTCTTATCTCTAGAAGAAACTGCACCTTCTGTACTGCTTACCTGGCTCTCCTTTCTGACCAGGACGTCCAGGCTCCCCCGTGCTACCTGTAACAGCAACATCCTAAGATAACAAGGCTTAGCCAAATGCTTCAACTAGGGCACCCACCACCATGGCACACATGTGCTGACGGTGGATTGTGCTGTGTCCTCTCCACTTACCATTGAAACCCTGCAGTCCTGGGGTTCCTTGATGTCCCTGAGGACCCATAGGTCCAGGAGGCCCGGGGTCTCCCTTCTTGCCCATTTCGCCTTTCTGTCCTTGAAGACCTACCAAACAGCACAGCACATGTTTGTAAATTGAAAAAAACCCAAAACAACAACAAAACAAAAAACAAACCAGGGTTGTTGTCTCTGCAGCCAGTGGAACACCTCCTTCCAGCTGCACGAGTCGCAGGCCTTGGCCTCACACCCACATTTACCATTAGCTGCACTCCTGTAAAGTTGTAGGAGGACAGGGCTGGATGGCATCTCACGAGTCTGCCTGACCCACCTCTGGCTCTGCCAGACTGTCTGGCCAAACGTTCTCCTGACCTGCTCTTAAAGTCTTGCAGTGGTGCCATGACACCACCCCAGTTTGCTCCCCAAACTATCCCTACCACTAGAATGTTTTCTTCTCCAGCTAAATATCCCTTATTATGGTCTGAACCCTTCCCTTCTTCTCGCCACAGTGGAGATGGAGGACAGCATATCCCACTCCTGTACTTCCAGGGAATTCCCACATCTCCCCGTAGTCTTTTCTTCTCCAAACAGGTGATCAGCATGGTCCAAAAGAGTGGAATTACTTGAAAGCAATTTAAACAGTGACACTTACTTCATCTTTCTGCTTCAGAATTATCCCAAAGTCCTCACCTTTTGAAATTCCTCCTACTTTCACTTTTCTCTTCTGGAGTAACTTTTGCTCATGAGGGCACTGGAGCATATGGGATCTGATGGAAGATCTGAGAAAGCTCTAATCAACCTGTCCAGCCATCGTCCCTGATCTGATAAACACACATCCTGTGCTCTCTTTTACTGTCCTGCTTTCAGCCTTTCCTCTCTGGGTGCAGCCCTGGTGATACCACTAAATAACAGCTATCCAGGAGATTCCCACTAATGACCATTACACGGGAGAAACACAGGGCATAACTAGTCTACTTAAGGTGTATAAAAGGCTTATATTAAGATACAAAGTTCTCAGAAATAGATTTTACTAAAATGAAGACTAACATCCACATGCTTGTGCATATAAATTGTATTGTATTATCTTATACCATGAAAATCCTACTGCAAACATTGCTGCAATAAACTGGGATAGGCTGATAATTGAATACCCGTGACTTTCATTAGACAAAGGTTGCCCTATAAAGAGACTTCCATGGTGCAGAGTAAACATTTTGCATGTCCTCTTCACCCTGCCCTCCTTTAGGAGCCTTGTTGGAGAATGGCACAAAATGAAATCCCTTCAGATCAGCTTCCTCATTGACTATCAAGTGGGATTTTTATGAAATATCTGACCTACGAAGACTTCCTCTGGTGTTTTAAGCTGAACAAGTTTAAACAGGAATACACAGGAGAATCTTAAAAACGTTGAGACAGTGAAGAAGTCTTACCTGCAAGCCCCGTATCTCCTTTTTCTCCTCTCGTTCCTGGTTCACCACGTGGGCCGGCAGGACCAGGATCTCCTTTGCTCCCCTTCTCACCCTGCAGTCCTTGTAATCCTGCAAGGACAACATCACTTTTTTGATGCCTCATGGGGTGTCGTGTCAGCAGCAGCAACTCTGCCCTCTGTGGACTAGAGAGAGGTGCTGGGGGCAGTGAGGAAACAGACCACCATGACCAGTGCAGGTTGACTTATTTTAAAATAAGAATTTTTCCAGCTAAGTTTTTCTTTTGTTCGCATTAATTTTGCATAGGCTTATTTCCTTCAACTCCAATGACATTCCTACCGACTTACACCTTGACTGAGGACAAGATTGCCCATAAAATAATCCATAAAGCCACTTTATGTTCATCCGCAGAAGTAATTCAGGTGTCAGAAAAGCCTTACCTTGGATTCCTTGGTCTCCCTTTGTCCCCGGTGGTCCCTGTAGCCCTGAGATGTAAAATACGTATATCAGCTGACACACATCATCTATTCGCAGTAATGGCTAAGAAGAAGAGATGAATTTTTTAATCATCCTTTGTGCGTGTGCCTTCTGTCACCACTGAGGCCAATCTTCAGCTGGCAGGGACCAGCACAACCGCTTGAGTAAAGTCCGTGGAGCTCGGCTGAGTGTGTGGCTGGGCAGGGGCCAGTTGTCCTCCAGCCAAGCCCAGCTCATGGGGACCTTTGGGGAGATTGGTCCTGAAAATGCACTGAATGATTGGGCTCTGATGTATAATAACGGTGCTTGGCGGGAGGTGCTATTTCAGTGTTGTAAGTGCAGCCAGGGAGATATGAAAACATGATTTTTAAAAAATGTATTAATTTTTTTTTTTGTCTTCAGAAAAGCTCATTGGTGTTGCCAAGAACTAGGGATGGATGAGATACAGACCTGACCTAACAAGGGTTGCATCTTAGATCATCATCATAGTTTCATAGAAACGTTGGTTTCTCTGGACATTGCCTAGTCCAACTTCTGCTCAAAGCGGAGCCAACGTTAGATCGGGACTTGCTGTGTCCTCAAAGCGGGCAAACACCTATCTCCTGTGGTGAGTGTACTTCTACCCAAAACACCCAGGTACCCCAGGGCACAACTTGTGCGTGGCTGTGGAGGGGAGCACTTGCGCCCAGCTCATTCCTGAGTCTGGGAATGCAGTTGTTTCCGCAGTGACAGGGTGGGCAAGGTCCCACATCTGTCACTGTTCGTTACATGCACTGTTTAGTTGGGGCCCTATAGAGCAGGGACTGGGGAGATCACCTTGAGCTGTCCTGGAGCGAGTTGGACAGCAGGACTTGCTATGTCTGGGGCATGAAACCCAGCTAGCCAGTGGTTGTGGGATGCACATAAACCCCCTCACTGGTCCTCTCTTGTCTCACATGGGGATTTGGAATGATTAATCAAGGTAATGATCAGTTACAGTTCCTCCATCACCCCTGAGCTTTTCTGGTGGCGTAGCTGTGAGGAGGCAGAGCCAAAATGCTCCTCCATGGTGGTCACTGACCTCTGTAAGAGCACTTGGACAAGCCGAGGCTCTTAGGGGATCAGTCAAAAGGTGAAGCAAGACTCCTCATGGGCAAGGCACTGGGTGTCAGCAAATTGGGTAGGATTTCGGTCTAGAGACTGAAAACCCAGATCCTCACGTCAGGTTTCTTAGGGGGAACAAAGAGAAAGAGGAAAAGAGGAAAAGTTGTTTATGGCTCATTTACCAACATACCTGGTGGACCAGGATCTCCTTTGCGTCCAGGACGCCCTGAAATAAATATTTAATGGATATTTTTCAGTAGTCAGCACTCCATGAGGGACATACCAGTATGGGGTTGATAGGCTTGAGGTCTGGGCTGAAAACTTCACTCTTTTGGAGAGCACCCAGAGCCCCAGTCTACAAGTTATGGGAGGGGAGAGCAGCCTGGAGCCACCTGTGCAGCTGCAGCTGGATCTGGGAGGGCTGTGTGGGGCTGTGCTCCAGCTTCTCCAGGTGTGTCTAGCTTTCCAGACAGGGCATTGGAGCCAGTGTCCAAGTCTGGGCACTGGGGCATCACTAACTGACAGGAAGACCAAATCTTCCCCTAGTTATTTTTTCATCTGAACCAGGTTTTTGGCCCAGCTTTCCCAGTGGTGCAGAAGAACCAGCTCTCCCCACCCTACAGCCAGCATGGAGAAGTGGAGCCATACCTGCAACCAGGCTGATGTTGCTCATCATCATCATCAGGTTTGCATTGCTGTTTTTAATTATGGTGATTTCCTCTTCTAAGCTTCTCCTCCAGTTTTCTTCATGTCCCATGTGCTTCTCTGCAGAGTTTCTCTCCAAAATCAGGTTGCTGGCAAAGGAGCTTTCCAGAAACTCTTCTGTAGAGGAGGTATTTTGCTCTTGAAGTTTCAATATCTCTCTCTGCATCTTAAACACTGAGGAAACAAAAGGCCCACGCAGTGAATATTCCCTGCCTGGTCCGGCTGGGAAATGCCTGTTTGGCAGAGCAGCTCCTCAGCACCCGTGGAGGACACCTGGGGTTAAACACCACCACCATTTGACCCAAGGAGGTGGTTTTCATGTGCCGGTCCTTTCTGCAGCCAGGAGTGCAGCCGGTAGTGCTTTTGCAAACGGAAAGCACACAGAGGGGGTGGGGGAATGGTTTCCTCCAGCGGCTGCTCTGACCTGTGGTCTGCAGAGGAGCGTCTGCGCTTCCTCAGGGGTTTCCTACCACTGTGTTCATCTCTGCTTGCCCGTGTCCCCCAAGAGCTCCCAGCAATGCTGCCTTTTGATGGCCAGTGGGCAGTAAGGTTGCAGCATTACCTTTGTATGCCAGCAGCACCTGGGTGGCCGTCAGCAGCAGCAGGTACACGACGAGGACCGACCGACCACAGCATGGGGATGGCTTTCTTTGTCTTCGAGGCTCTGAAAACCAACAGAAGTAGGGTAGAATCATAGAATCATAGAATTCTCTAGGTTGGAAGGGACCTTTAAGACCATCTAGTCCAACCATCAACCTAACACTGACAAAAAAACCATCACTAAACCATGACCCCCACCACGTCAACCCATCTTTTGAACAGCTCCAGGGATGGTGCCTCAACCACCTCCCTGGGTAGCCCATTCCAATGCTTGATAACTGTTTCAGTGTAAAAATTCTTCCTAATATCCAACCTGAACCTTCCCTGGCACAACTTGAGGCCATTTCCTCTAGTCCTGTTGCCTGTGACTTGGGAGAAGAGACCGACCCCCACCTCTCTACTAAACCTCCTTTCAGGTAGTTGTAGAGGGTGATAAGGTCTCCCCTCAGCCTCCTTTTCTCCAGGCTGAACAACCTCAGCTCCCTCAGCCTCTCCTTGTAAGACTTGTGCTCCAGACCCCTCACCAGCTTTGTTGCCCTTCTCTGGACTTGCTCCAGCAAGTCAACGTCTTTTTTGTGGCAAGGGCCCCAAAACTGGACACAGTACTTGAGGTGGGGCCTCACCAGTGCCGAGTACAGGGGGAAACCTCTCACATCTTTCCTGCTACAAATTCTGGTTGACAGTACTTGAGGTGGGGCCTCACCAGCACCAAGTACAGGGGGAAAGCTCTCACATCTTTCCCGCTACAAATCCTGGTCACTTCCAGCCATTTCAGGCTTGTCCACAATAAGTTAGCAGTGCTTTCCCTTGACAGGGAGCAGCAAGGTCCCTCTGCAAGACTGCCAGGTCCTGCAGGCAGGGCAGGCTGCCTTCCTCCGACCCAGGCTTTGCACTGCAATTCACTTGGCCATCTTTTCCCTCGCCAATTTAACCAGCTCCCTTCCATCAAGACTTAATCCAGCCCGTAACAGTGGGAACGCAGTAACTCTTCCCTTTCTGCATCAATAAACTCCCTGATTCCATCCAGTCTTCAAAGAAGGCTGCTCAAAGCACATGCCCTCTCCATCCGGAGCTCTGCGCACATGTGATTCCAACAGCAGGGCACATATGCATCCAAACAAATGAAAAATCAATAATAAACTGAACTGTAGAACAAACAAAACAAAGTTGTAACATTTAAAACAAATTGACACCAGCAAGTGTAAAAGAAATAAACTTCTTTCTCAAATTTTGGCCTTTAGGGAGAAAAAAAGTATTTCAGAAGCATTAATGACTACTTCAGACATTCAGTAAGTTACCCTTAATTGAGATTTTTTGTCAAAGTAATGTAATCGGAAGTTTAAAGTCTTAGTTTTAAAAGAGTTCAATGATTTAATTAGTTTTACAATAGAATGGTTTAGTCAGCAATGAAGTATTTATATTCAGCTAAAAACTCATAAACTTACATTTTTTTGTTTGATCTGGTGATTCCAGTATCTTAACTATTAAGACATGAAAGTTTTACTCAGTGAAATTAGGCATTTTCTAAAACAGGAAAAGAACTAATTTTTTTTCTGATGTTCAGCATCAGCTTTGGGCTAGAAAGGACATTTTCACATACTTCTCTTTTTAAATGGTCAGTTAATTTAGTAGCAAAATCACTGTAAAAAGCATTTAATATGCAGTATAAATACAATATTTCATTTTTATGTGCTGCTTTCTTCATAGGCCAGATAAAATCCATATTAGTCCATTTAATAAAAATAAAACTTACCACTTATCTGAAAGGTTGTAGTAGTAGCTGAGGCAAATCCGATCTTGTCTGAAATACTGCAAGTGTTCATATCTCTTGAATTTCTATCTTCTTCATACCCGTCTTTAATTTTCATGACAATTTTCTTGTGGCTGACCTAAAGCCTCGTTAGACTATGGACAATAGAGAACTGAAGGGACTTCCTATCTGCCTCCTGATTTGATATGCTTTCTGATATGCTCTTCCTATCTGCTCAGTTTTTATAGACTTGTGAGAACTCTGATGTGGTAATTTGAACAGTTCCTCAAAAAATCCCACAGCTAAGCTGCTCTTGTGCACTCATTTGGGGACACCATGTCCACGGAGCCTTGGGCAGGATCCTGAAAGAGGTTCAACCCTGAGTCATTCCACATCTCTGCACTTTAGTGGGCTTGAGCATGAGGTGCCATTTTGCTCCTAACACAAGTAAACCTCCTCATATAGCTAAGAAGATCGCAAGTTCAACCTTAGCTTGGAGATCCATCCCCTGGGAAAGGAGGTGAAGCACTGCATGGTAGTGAAAAACATATCAACTTGCACCAAGATGCTGACTTGGTGAAGGTGCATGACTGAAGTGTGGAGAAGGGAAAAATCAGGAGGAGTTGTAAAGACGAGCAAATGATGGTGGGGTGGGGGATGCTGAAGCCCAAATGGGCTTGGGATGTAAGGAGAAGAGACACTTGCAAATTCCTTGCCGAGACTCTTCCCAGCCCCTGCTTTCTCCCTGACCCATTTTCCACAGGCACAATTCCGATCACCTCACCACGTCTTTGCTCAAGTTCTCTAAAACCCACCCCTGCAGACCTCGGCATAGCATTTGGCGTTTTAGCATCTCCCTTTGTGCCGGGGCTAATATTGATTTTGTAAAACAAAGCAACTCACCCAATCCAGCAGGTGAGAGCCGTCGGTAGGTGCTGGGCAGAAACCTCCGTACCCACGCAGCTGCCCCCACGTGCTGTCCTCCCTGAGGTGCAGAGCAGTCCCCATCACACGGTCTTCTCCTGGGCTGCAGGTCTGTGCTCATCGGCAGGGCTGCTGGGTCCTCACTGTTTGGCGTGGCCATGGAAGAACGTGCAGTGTGAGCTTCAGGTAGATGTGAGCTGGAAATCCACACCGTGACAGCCCAGTGCTGAATGAAGGGCTCTCTTCTGCACCTGACGTACACATCTCTTAGAGGCTTAAGCCAACGAGATGTGGGGATTTTTAAATCCACTTCTGCGTTCTCCTTTCAAATGTGCTTGTGCAGCTGTGACCTGGTTTGGCACCAGCAGGGAGGAAGAGAGGTCCTCTGTTATCATATATTCTGCTACACACTGACTAGGAATTGAGATAATTTGCTTCATTTTGAAGGGCTCAGATACCCCCTTAAATTAGGGTGGCTCGAGAGGTTTCTGCAGATCAGCTGAGCCATAGTAACTACCTGTGCATCCTCTCCCTTCATGGCATCACTTCCACACTGGGCTGAGGGTTTGTATCCAGCCCCTTTCTAATGGTTTGCATGGTTCAGCTGACCACTCTGTGCAAGCCTGAAGCCATCTACTGTTGCTGGGCCAGGTGATGAGCTGGGCATGATGCATGTGTGTTTCCAAGTGGATGTTTATAGGGATGGATGTGATTCAGGTGCACACAGAGAGCAGATTTGCAGCAGAGAGGCATTTAACAACACTTGCAGGTAAATCCAGTTTACTGCAGAAGTAAGAAGGTGGCAGCTGTAGTTTTCAAAAGCCCTTCTAAAAGGCAAAAAGCGCAGTGAGATCTTGGTGCCCTCCTCCCCTGAGAAAGAAGCTGAGGGGTATGTTTTGCCATTCTCAATGGCCCAGGTGGCATGGATGAAAAAGCAGGGCTGGAGAGCCTCAATTCTGATGGATCTGCACTCCTTCAGGGTTCAAAATCCAGTTCTCCAATTTAGCTATTTTCAGGAGGTCAACAGCAAAGTCATGATCCCACCCAACTTTGCCCGCCAGCTGCCTACCCAGCCGCTTAAACTCAATTTCCCCCTTAATTTCTAGTCGACGTAGCCCGGTGCAACTCTGCGTGAGCAGCGGAGTCACGGCATGCTCCCATCTGGCTGTCAGGCTCTGCAAACAGGGGGTGGACCTCCCCGGGAAGGTGTCACCGAGGGTCTCGGCCGTGCCACAGACGTCAGAGGTGGCTTTGCGTGTGCTTGCTGTCCCCACCCTGCTTTCTGCCCTCTTTCGTTTCTCTGATTGCACTCTGATTGTGCAATCGGGGTCACCAAACCAAGAAAGGGAAAAAAAAAAAGGAAAGAAAACGCTGATTCAGTGCAGTCTCTCTAGGTTGATGGTCTGCTGAAACAATGGGATTATTAATAGAAATGCAGTTTCCAGGCATGTTACGGGGCACGTCTCTTGGGCCATCAGCCTCACCCTCCAGGCTCTCTGCTAGGAAGCCCTGGCCTCTCTCCCGTCCTGCTGCTCATCCTGCCTCCCCTGAAATGCTCTGCCAACATCTCAGTGAAGAATCTGAAGTCCTCCGGCTCACCCTGGCCCTTCTCGTCCCATGCTCTGGTGTTGGTGGCTCGTGCCGGGCAGAAGGTCCTCCTCATGCTTTCACTGCAAAGGTGCACCCCATCTGAACCAGGTTTTGTAAAAAGATTGCAGCTGCCTCAAAGTCACGGGCCTGTGGGTAACTGCTGAGGGAGGGGAAGGGAAGTGTCTGGTCCCTGGCCATCCCCTCTGTCTTTCCCATCTCCTCTCACTGCTGTTGTCAGCCGCAGGCATTTGCCACCACCAAAAGCTCATGGTGGTGTGAAGAGACGTAATGCCAAACTCCAACCTGGCGTTAGCTCAGCACAGCCCTTCCCAGCAGTGATACTGCCAGGGAGCTTGGATGGACATTAGCCTCTTCAGAACAAACATTTATCCTGAAAGAACTGAGCATGTGATTTTTCAAATATTTTTTTTTCTTTTTTTTTTTCCCCCAAATGAGATGATATCCTAGCTCAGAGGTGCTTCTCCATTTATCTTACGGTAATTTTTCCAAGCTCATCTGTTTGATCACAGTCTGTCTTAGGAACAAATGTGCAACATGCCCTTCCAAAGACAGGGAAGAGAAGAGGTGATGGCACAAACAGGCCTTATGACAGGTAAGCCAGGGCAGTAACTGCCACCATTTCTGCTGTCAGGTCTTGACCAAAGTGAGAGGTGCAGCCAGAAAAGGCGACCGTCTACTGCTCATCCCAGCACCTGCACTCATGTTGCTGCAGATTGGCTTCGAAGAACCAAAAAGTTATCCTGCCCACAGACCACACTGCTCTCCCACAGAAACAAGTAGCCGTGGTTTGACCTGGGACACAGCTGACAGGTGCACACCACAAAGCCATCAGTGACCAGTGCTGAACAACTGCCAGATTGGTGGTTTTTTGCTTTTTTGTTTCGGTTTGTTTTGTTTCGTGTTGGTTTTTTTTTCCTATTTTACCTGATTTTCCAAACTTTTCTCTCCTTGTGGAATGAACATGGTGGTGAAACTTGACATATCAGTGAGCTCTTGTGGTGGATTGACCCTGGCCATCAGCCAAAAGCCCACCCAGCTGCTCACTCAGTTCCCTCTCCCAAAGGATGGGCAGAAAATAGAAGGAAGGCGAGAAGACGGGTGGCTCAATATGATGACAGCTTAACACAGAAAGTAAAAGTTGCACTTGCAAGCAAAGCAGAAAGAGGAATTAATCCTCCACTTCCCATCATCAGGCAGATAGGCAGCCACTTCCTGGGAAGCAGGACCTCAGCACATGAGATGGTTGTTTGAGCTGACAAATGCCCTAACCACAAACATCTCCCCTTCCTCCTTCTTTCCCTGAACTTTTATTGCTTAGCTCGACATCATATGGTGTGGGATATGCTTGTGGTCTGTTTGGGTCAGCTGCCCTGGCTGTGTCCCCTCCCAACCTCTTGTCCACCCTCAGCCTGCTCATGGCCCTGGTGCTGTGCGAGCACTGCTAACCCATAGCAAAAACATCGCTGCGTAATCAACGCTGATTTAACCACAAATCCAAGGCACAACACCATAGGGAAGCTACCTCCTCCCAGTCAGACCCAGTACAGCTCTCCATTATGATGGTGTTTATGCTAAAATGCCTTGTTCTCCCCAAGGAAAGACCAAGGACTTTGATGCCCACGAACATCGGGAGGCACTGATGAATTCAGGGGATGCCAAAGCAGGTTGTGAGTGATCTGCCCACCGGCAGAGCTCATGGAGGTGCCAGGTCTGGGGTCTCCCTGGTGAGCACCCCACTGGCTGCCCATCTTAGCCCTGGCCAGCACCCCCTGAAAAAAAGTGAATCCAGCTCTAAGGGCAAGAAATGATGTGGTACCTGGAGAGTGTCCATGCAGAAGAGAGACTGAGGCCAACACGCAAGATATAAACAACTGTGATTTGTGCCAAGGCGTTAAATCAAAGCTTGAGCCTGGACCCTTATGGGAGCAGGAGCTTTTTTGGGAAGCCCCCCCATGTCCCTGCATGCCCAGAGCTGTGCTCAGGAGGTCCAGCCACTGCGGTAGCACCTGGGCACTCCTGGGACCATGGAGAAGCACTTGTGCTAAAGCAATAAAATCCCCAGCACTGCCTGGCTGACATTTCTCCTTTCTAGCTTGATGTGTTGCTTGGCTTTGTTGTAGAGATTGAAAACAGATTTTCTTTCCCTTCTATGAGTTATGTTAATTTGTGTTTCATCAGAACTTGCCTCTTCTCCTCCTTTTCTTCTCCCCCTCCCCTTTTCTCCCCCTTTCTTTTGGCTGGATCCAGCTGCACCATGAATTCAAGGAACCACCTGCAAAATATTTTAATGACTTCAACCTGTTCTTTGAGGTGAATTAATACCAGGACAGCCTCTGCAACATGGTGAAATAGTCAGGGTTGGCTAAGCGGGCCACCCTCAAAGCCAAAAAATATGTTCTGCAAAGCAGCTGCTCCTGACAAGCAACTCTGTTTTCAAGGTCCCCGTACAGTGTCTTGCTCCTCACCTCAAAGACAGTTTTCAACTATTTAGGTAAGAGTTGATTCCAGAGACTGCATGTATCCCAAACCAGCTTAGAAGCAGGAAGGATAAGGGGATGTGCAAAAACCAGCCACACAAAGAATGGGTTAGATCCATTTACGATCTGCTATAAACAGGGCAATTACAGCTGAAGGGAGGCATCTCCTGGGGCTTGCTCTGCACCTA